CTTGGTCGAGTCAATCAAGTTAACTCGGTTGACTCGACAGAGTTAGGCGCCTAGTCGGTCGGCTGACAAGGTGGGGCCTAAATGGGAAAGCGTCACAGTTGGACAGTGCCTAGGCGCGATTTTACAATCATGATTTTGATATATATTCATTTGTAGTGCTCACTACTCGAAGATGCACTCTCGCCAAGTAACTTTAAGTGGCAAAGGACCACAAAAAGGTAAACCAATCTAGGTTGTTCATAATTAATCGACTCAAACTAATAAAATCGAGCTGTAAGTAGTTCAATGACAAGTCAAACTTGAAAAATTATTGTTACCTAACTAATTATATGAGTAACTACATCTTAATTATAAATGAGATTTGTCTTGTCAAGAAGATGAATGTGTTAATTTTGTTTGAAAGAATTACGGCTTACAAATAAGCTATCAGATTTATTTCATAAATAAATGATATTTTATATGGGAAGTTTAAAATCTCACTTCAAACAAAATATGGGAAGTTTAAAATTTTGTCTTCACTGGGATCATGTTGTAGGCATGAATACTGGTCTGACAAATTAATTTTATATAATTAAAGATAGTCTATTATTTCATTTAAATTTCTTTTAAAATAAATATCCCTCTTGAAGAACATAGAAATAATGCGCCCTGCCTAACAGACCATCGGGTGGATACGTTAGGCAACAACTACGAAAAGCAATTAATTGTATTCACATGCATTATTTTCCCTTTTTAATATTTTAAAAAAGAAATTTATATTTTTTTATTTTCGAATTATAAGACAATAACAAATTCAGTCTTTATATTATAATCGAGAGGGTGCTCTCAATAATCAAACTCGTAACTTTCAAAAATCATATATATTTCATCCACTTAATTAGTCGCCCCGCCATTTTGAGGCATATAAACGTTACTACTTTTAGCCCTTAGATTTTAATGTAATTTCTTATGTTCTTCCATTGACAGTTTGTTAAAATTTACTGTTACTCTTCTAACATCTTAGTTGAGTATGTGACTAGTACCAAAATTTTACATCTTAATTATTTCTCATTTTTCACCTAAAATCATACTCAAACTTCATGGCTAGTAACAAAAAATGCAATATATATATATATATATATATATATATATATATATATATATTAAATTGATGGAAAAAAAAATTAGTGTAATGAAGATCAATTGTTTACATTTTAATTCATCAAGTCATGAAGTTAAAGTGCGATTTTTGGATAAATTAAAAAGAGAAAAGAATATGAAGTAAAATTATGTTAGCTACTAATTCTAATTAATTATTTTTTTTTTAATGAATAACAATAAATTTCTACAATTTTATTTTAAAAAGGGATCAATAGCATCACTTCACTAACAGTTTAAAAATTAAAAATGGTGAAACTTATAATATAGAGATTAAATATGCTAAGACTTTATATTCCGAATCATAGGTGCAATTATTTTTCAGATTTAAACTCTTGATTTTTTTAAAATATGTATTTATTTTATATTTATTTGGTGTTGTAATAATATTATAATTATCATCTGCACTTCTGAACTAATTAGATGGCCGCGTGGACTTCCATAATGACATTTTTGCAGAATCACCAATGATTAAGGAAGCCTTAAATATAGCAGCAATATTTGACAATTTCACGTTAGAATAAATAATAAATAAATAAATACAGTATTTCTTCCGTCCATTTATGTGGTTTACTAATTTAAAAATACTCTAGTTTTCTAAAATATTAAAATACCGAATTTTCTGTTCAACTGAATTATTTATAAAATTTAATTAATAATATTATTTCTTGATTTTCTTCACATAAGAAAAGAATTTAAAACTACAAAAGATGTATTTTCCTTGCAATTTCTTTTGGACTCTGTTTGTCACACTTCATTGAAAAGTTGTAAGTTAACTAAAAGCTAAAATAATAGTTGTTATAAGCGGAATATAATAAATAAATAAATATAAACACACACACACACACACACACACACACACACACACACACACACACACACATATATATATATATATATATATATATATATATATATAGCATTTTTGTAGTTGTCTGCACCAAGTATATTTTTGTGATGTACTAAGTGCATGTGATGCACTAAGTGTTGATCTATGGTCCACATTCTCCACCCTTAAAAATTTGCAATAATGTAGAATGGATTGGATAAAGTATGTTATTTTTGTAAAATAATAGATTTTTATTAGCATAAAATGGCAAGGGTTTTTTTTAGCCATGATGAAAATTAGTGTATATATGAAAATATGAGCTTATTTTATGGTTTTATTTTTTTTATTTATCAAATACAATTAAATAATTATAATTTAAAATAATTTATAAACCCTTAAATAATTCTTACGAAGTAGAGTCTTTGATACATAAAACTCATTTAATTTGTTGATAATTTTTTTATATATGAAAATGCTTAAATGCACATGAGTTTTCATTCATTACCATCACCTCCAACCTACCCTTACTTGCCACCACAATAATTTGTAATTTTTTTATATTATTTGAAATGATTTTGGATCATGTGGTGATTATAATTAAAAGTGAGATATGTACCAAAAACCCATTCCCAAAATATTTAAACAATATAAAATTTATGTTAACGACGTATGAGTTTTAAAACTAAACACAAAATTAAATTAATAACCAATTGTAACCTTAAGACATTTCTAATGGGGGAGATTAAATAGAAATAAAGGGAGAAAAAATGAGATAAAACAATTAGAAGGGAGGGAATTGAAGCATACTCTGTAGAGACAACTTTGTCTCGATCTGTAAGAGTATGCTCAATTACGCATGCCGCTCATACGCCACAATTTACTCACAGAGTTGGGGAACGGCCGACCACACCTTTGCTTTGTGTGTGTATATATATATATATATATATATATATATATATATATATATATATATATATATATATATATATATATATATATATATAAACAATAGCCTCATTATGGTTGTTATAATTTTATTATTATTATTATATTTTTAAAATTCTATTTTTATATTTTGATTTTAATTTATTTTTAATTGTATTAATTGTTGTTATATTTATTATTTAAAATTTTTATATGTTACTAAATGTTAATTTGTTCGGTAGATTGATTTTAAATATGAATTTTAATTTATGAAATTATATTTTATAATTCAAAGAATTTTTATTTTGTCATTTATAATATATAATGTGTTGGAGTGAAAAAGAGTAGGACTCACCGAAAAGGGAGAAAAGGGGAAAAGGGTTGAAGAGAAAATAGGAGGTCAGGGAAGATTATAAGGTGATGTCGATGAATTGGACCCACCAAATGAGAAGATAAGAGAAGGACCATTGTGGATGACCTTATAATTAAGCTCCCATTTTGTGTAGCAATTATGTGATCAAGCAAGAAGTTTAATGAATAGTCGTGAAATGGTCGAGTTCAATTCTTGTCAACATTTTTTTGGTTGAACTTGTCACGCATGGCCTTCTTTGTGTATTTTCCCTCTCCGGTATGATTTATAAGTTATTACATATGAATAAGTTTATTCAAGGAACACTTCATAATGTAGTGTATTATATACAATATATTCAACATTTTAATTTTATTTAAAAGAATAAAAGATTTTTTTTTTTAAAAAAAGGTAGTGTGGCCTTGGAAGAATTTCAGGATACCTTGCTTGAGAATATATGTGTCCCGTTTTCCTTTTCACAAAGATTAATTCTTAGGCTATCTGCAACGCTGTAATTCTTAGGTAATTTGAAAGTGACTCCGTGAGATTACTTTTAAAAGAGATGAGATAATTGTATGCATGGTGAGTGAATGGTGACTAATTACAATTTTTTTTTTTTACCATTTTGAAAGGGAGAGAAAATTGTATGAATGAGAATAGTCTTATCCTGAAAAATTAGACCTGTTTGATAAATAGATGTTAGTTGTTAGCGGATTGTATTAATTAGAGGATATAATTAATTGATAACATTAGCTGATTGTAGAAATGTATTTGGTAAATTAGCTATTCGTTGATAGCTGTTTGGTAAAAAACTGGCCTATAGGCCAATTTTGACTTATTTGACTACTATTAATTGTTTAATTTAGTTAAAATATCAATATAAATGTTTGGTTAATTAGCTTTTTGCAACTCCAAAAGGTTAAAATTCAAAAAGCTACCCTAAGCAACTTTTTCAATTAGTTTTTTGAGAAAGGAAATTATACCAAACAGCTATCAGCTAACAGCTAATTTACCAAATATTTTTCTACAATCAGCTAATGTTATCAACTATTTATACCCTCTAATTAACACAATTAGCTATCAGCTACTAGCCATTTTACCAAATAGGGCCATAATTTCTTTTCTAAAAAAAAACTAATTGAAAAAATTGCTTTGAGTAGCTTTTTGAATTTTAACATTTCGGAGTACAAAAAACTAATTAACCAAACATTTATATTGCTTTATAAACCAAGTCAAACAACTAATAGTAGTAAAATAAATCAAAATTAACCTATAGACTAACTATTTTACCAACATGACCATAGTTGACCTTACAATTGCATTTTAAGTTGATGCTTAGTCACCAAGGATTAAATTCTTGCTTTAATATTTTGGCTAAAGTATTATAAAATGTTACATAAAAGCTTACTTGTCACGTTTTGCTTGAAAGAAGTCCATTTGTGACGGTGACGAGAGTGGGAGACTTTGAGAAGCAACAAAGAAGGCCGCATATACGCTAATACGCAGCTCTTATTAGAAGCCACTATGAGCCGAGCCGCGTGGCGTCAGAGTATAAACTGCGGCCGTCAATTTCTCCCATTCGCCTCGCATCTACGCATCCACGGTGTTTGTTAACGCAATATTATTTTATTCATTTATTATTATTATTTTTTTAATTTAAAAAAAAAAAGAAGAAGAAAAAAGAAAAAGAAAAAGACGAGAACCACAATACAAAAACGCCCACCTTTTCGTCGCCCCTCCCAAACATCTATTTAAGCCCTTTGCCTAACCCCTATCCCCCACAACATCTCATTCCTATCCTATCTAAAAACCAAATTTAGCAAACACGAAACCCATACTAAAAGCCATATCAAACAAGCCAAAAACAAAAAGAGTTTTTTCTGATCATTTTTAGCGACGTTTCAATCTTTTGGGGTCGTTGCAGCTTTCTTTAGCAAGTTTGATTAAAATCAAAGGGTTCAATTCGTCACAAAACAAAAAAAAAAAGAAAGAGAAAAGATGGTGGTGTGTATGGTTTCTCGTACGGGACGGAATTTGCAGAGGTACAACAAAGGTCAGCGTCTCGTCGTCGGGTATGTTCTTCAATTCGTCACAACTAGTTTTTCGTCGATTTCCTCAAATACCATTTGTCGCAAATCGTTTCGCCGCGCATGGGTGTTGACTTTCTTTCTGTTTTTAAAAATTTGTCGCAAATGCAGATGCATACCTTACAGATACACAATTAACGACGAATTGGAGGTCCTGATGATAAGTTCACAAAAGGGTCAAGCAATGATGTTCCCCAAAGGAGGCTGGGAGCTAGATGAATCCGTCGAAGAAGCCGCCTCTCGTGAATCCATCGAAGAAGCCGGAGTTCTTGGCATTGTTGAGGTTCGTCAAATTTGAAAAAAAATCGTCACAATTAACATTCCTTGTTGTATATATATAAAATCAGATCTTAACGTTATTTTATTCTAATTCCAGCCTGAGTTGGGGAAATGGATAGTCAAGAGCAAGAGCCGCGCAATCTATCACGAAGGCTACATGTTCCCTTTGCTCGTGACCGAACAACTCGACCTTTGGCCTGAGAAAAATCTCAGAAGAAGAGAATGGGTAAGTTCAATTCCCCTGTCACATTTTCAATTTTTAAGTTACCAAAAAAATAGCTTTACGTTACGTTCATCAAACTAACTAAAAATTTTGCGGGGTGCAGATGTCTGTGACGGAAGCCAGAGAGGTTTGCAAACAAATATGGATGAAAGAAGCATTGGATATGTTAGTTGAAAGGATCAATTCTAGGGAGGACCAAGAAGCTGTATTTCCAAGCTCTCCTTGACCCAGAATATAATTATTGAAGCAAATTTTATGGGGAAAAAAAACAAAAATTTTGATTCAGTTTTTTTGGGTTCTATTTTTATTTTTATTTTTTACTTTTTTTTTTTTTGAATGAAAGTGTTGTACATATGCCAGCACTTCTTAATTACAGCCATCATAGGAAAGATGTTTAAGTTGTCCCACGAATCTCCATACTAAATTCAGGGCAGATTCAGGGAAGTTTAATTTTCTTCTGTACTCATGCTGACAAATTTCATATAAAACAATCAAAAGCTGTTGATTACTCACTTCCTAACTGTTTGATTTGATTAACCAATTAATTAGCTTTGTAACAATTTATTGTTTTAAAATGTTAAAATTTAAAAAGCTAAAATTTAAATCAGTTTTTTTTTTTTTTTTAAAAAGTCATTTCGTATGTAATTAGCTATCAGCTAACAACTAATTTATCAAACATTTTTCTATAATTAGCTAATAATTATTTATCAAATACCCCAATAACCTGCAGTTATAATTGTACTAAATTATATTATAATGTAACAATCTTATCGTGTTTCATATATAAATGTTTTATTCGGACAAACTATGGGCTTAATAACATATCTGGCCACCTTATGGGAAAATTTGATCATGGGACCTCATCTTGTTCCCTTCTTGGCTATGTTTTGGATCTTTGCATTAATGTGGAAAACTTATTATGCATAGAGAGATTTTCATATCAATACTTGGAAATTATGGTTTATCATAGCTCATACATAAATCACCAACATTATACAAGAATTTTCTTACTAACTATTAGAATCAGTTTTTTTTTGTTTTTTTTTTTTTTTGTTTTTTTTTTTTTTAAATGTACCCATTTTTCTTTAGGTTGTACAAGTATTATCAATACTTATCATTATTATAATATATCAGGTGATTGAGTCATATAAGGTATTATCAACACTTGTCCTATTATATTTGGCATAATAAGACATACCACACTTGTCCTATTATATCTGGTACAATAAGACATACCATGTGTGATTGTAACGAAAGAGAGCAACTATTATCACCCATGCCTTTTTTATTATTTACCATATATATACAACCAGAGTTAATTCCACCAATGATCCTTTAGTGGTAATTTCAAATTTAGTCTCAGACTATCATTTTTGTCATTTAACATTCTAGACTATTATTTTTTGGACACTTTTAGTCCTTTGCATGACTTTTCCTATTTTTAGTAAGGACATTTTTGTCTTTTCATAGTTTTCTTTTGTTATTTTTTTGGTTTCAACCGATTTAATTGGTTTAGAGCTTTATGTAACATCTTATTTTTAGTAACCATATTTTTCAACTGGATTTTAGTAAAGTCCTAAACCAATTAAACCGGTTGAAACCGGACAAATAGCAAAAGAAAACTATGAAGAGACAAAAATGCCCTTACTAAAAATAGGAAGAGTCATGAGAAGGACTATAAGTGTACATCCAAAAAATAATAATCTGAGATGTTAAATGACAAAAACGTTTAGGACTAAATTTAAAATTACCACCACAGACAAAAGACCTCTTATGAGATTAACTCTATACAACCATGTATATTACTTTGTATTTTAATTGTTCCGAATATTATCAACACTTATCTCTTTTCCTAATATCTATACAATAAAACAAATCAGGTGTGGTTGTAATAAAAAAAAAAGGTAATAATATTAATTCACACCTTAAAAATTCCAAATAGACTGAAGAGTGCATATATTCATTCTATAATAAAATAATATATACAGATGTAGAAATGAAATGATTATAAATTGACTGATACCTGCAGAATGCATCCAAAATGTTGTCCCTCGGCTCCAACAGTGTTAATCGTTTTGTTTTTTGAAATGTTGTGTGCATTTTCAAAGCCGGTTGTATGTTTTCAAGGTTTTGCCGTCCAACTCTCCAACTCCTTCGAGAAGGACATATACAAATTGATAGATTCATGTTTGCTGAGTTATTAAATTATCGAATCGTGATTTACATCTTTTTAGATGTTTTGTTAAGTCGGAATATAAGAAGCTTTTAAAGTTGAGATTCAACCTTTTAGAAGAAAAATATTTACAGATAGTTAATGTCTATCTTATCATATGGGATAATAGTTTTGATATTAAAAGGAAAAAAAAAAAAAAAAAAAAAGAAATCACATGCATTAGAGATATGGCTCTCTTGCTAAGCACCTTGTGCATAGATAGCACCCGGGTTCGACTTTCCTATAGGATTATAGGAGATTGTGAGTTCGAGCTTCAGTGGAGGCATACTCTCATATGGAAGATTGTGAGTTCGAGCCTCAGTGGAGGTGTTATCGGCTCTTTGTGCTTCAGTAGGTTAATTGTAACTTTGTTTTTTGTACGGTTGTACCAATACGTTTAGTTGAATTGGAAAGAGAGAATTATAAGGAAATGAATTTGTAATTTTGTGGAAAAGAAATAATATGGGAATAAATTAAGAATTTAAAATTTATTGTTTTGTAGGTATGAATATAATTACTAGAAATTGAAAGGAAAAAAGCGATATAAAGAAAAAAAATACACTTGTGTAATGATAATAACTACAACAACAATTAAATGCAAATTTGTTAATACACACTTCTTTTCCTTTTCCATGCAATTCCATGGTTGGTGTGAAACTGTAAAGGAAAAGAATTGCAATTTATGTATACCAAGCAGGCCATAAAAAGTGAGATTGATTTCAATCATCAATCATAGTTCATCAACGACCATAGAATTGGGGTTTTAGTATATGTACAAAGTGGTTCAAGTGTGAAGATACTCTCAAGTGAAAAATGAGATGATATATGAGTCATTGATCATTAATAATCTTATACTACACGTCTACATTTACTTGCCAATTTAGTTTGGAAAAAATAAATATTTTCTTTTCTCCCTTTTTCTACCTTGCTTTTTTTCATTTTCCATTTTTCAAAAAAAAAAAAAAAAAGTAGGTTTCATAATTTTTTTTTTTTTTTTTTTGCAAGTATACGCCGAACTACTGAAGTTTACAGCGCGTTTGGTTGAAGGGAGTTTAAATTCTCTTCCCACTTAATTCCCACCTAATTTTAAAGGCCACAAAATTCCCTTGTTTGGTTGAAAAGAATTGCAATTCTCTCATTTTCATTGAATTAAAATCCCATGTCCCCCTGGGATTTTAATTCCTTAAATTTTAGGAAGAAAAACAGATAGTGATGAGTCAAAATTGCCCCTCCCTTTTTTAATCTAAAATTAATGCTTGACAACACAATGGACATTTTGGACTTTATATTACTTATTCCCTTTAAATTCCCATGTATGCCAAACATTGGAATTGAAATTCCCAGTAATTCTATTCTTATAAACCAAACACTAGAATTTAAATTCTCACTTTATTCCCAGTAATTCATCTCCCATGAAATTGCAATTCCTTTCCCACGTAATTCCCCCAACCAAACGCCCTGTTAATGGTAATTTAAAATCGAATGGTTCCGACAATAATACTATTAATGATCTTACACTACACGTCTACACTTGCCAATTTAGTTTGGAAAAAAAAAAAAAAAAACTCCCTTTTCTACCTTGCTTGTTCATTTTCCATTTCTTCCTTTTGTTTTTTCAAAACAAGTAGGTCCACTTGAAATATAAAAACGTTTTGAAAAAAATTAAAGAGTAGAAAATAGTAATGAATAATCTTGTAGATACATACTTAACCCGTGTTTTTCCATTATTTTACAAATGAAAAACAACTTTAGTTTGAGTAGAAAAGTAAAAAACATGGAATTTAATATTTTTCATTTTTAGATGGAATTATGAAAACCAAACGTTGAACACAAATTTCATTCCCCCACCCCCTCTATTTTTTCTGGAAATATTGAAAAGTTTTCATTCAGTGAACATGCCTTAGTATCTCGCAATTGCCTGGTCAACCAATACAAAATTTGGTGCATTTAATGTTTGGACAATTCTCATACATTGCTTCCTAAATCTTGTGTTTTGTCTTCATTCCATTTCATATCAAACACATGTTTCTTGCCAATTCTAAGATACCAACATTGGATCTATGCGAGTATATTGACTTGTTTATTTAAACTCACATCCATATAATCAAATTGACATTCGAATTTTCTGAATGAACATGACATTTTAAATTTAAATCTAATCTCATACATAGTACGAACGTCCGTGTTGTTCTTGGATTTTTCTTCAAGATGCATATATACTTCATAATTTGAAATAGTTGTAAAATTATGAAAATAGATTGCAAATCTTGTTGTTTCTATATTTAAAAAAATAAAAATGAATCTAAATTTAGAATAGATTAGGTCATTGGGACCATCTATATGCAATTCTGTATACACCACACAGGAAATGTAAACTGCATTGACCAGGATAATATTAATAGAACTTATAATTTTTAATACGTGAATTATGCTCCACATATTCGACCACCATTTTGATACAAATGTGACAAGTTTAACTCATCTATTATCTTTTTATTTTAATTAATTTTTTTTGTACTGAATTCAGTTTAGTAAAGGCCCAAAAAACTTGGATTGAAGAAGCCCAAATTCACCTCACTCAATAGTTATGTTGTGGAACTGTGTTCACCATGTGCATGGTGAACACGGGATACATACATAATTTCTAAGCTGTAGATTCATAATTTAGATTCATAACATCTATACAGTAAATTCATAATTTTTGTACTGCGATTGCGAAGAGAGAAACGTCGTTAACAATAAATAAGAAACAAATTTATGAATCTACAACATAGAAATTATGAATCTACCCCTGTGTTCATCATGCGTATGGTGAACACGTTTTCCACAGCATAATTTGCGCACCTCACTGTTCCTCTTAATTTCAGGCTTCACATTGTTTTCACTTTTTTTGCGTTGCCCACAATTTAATTGCAAATTCAAATCGAAAACTCACTTTAATTTAACCTTAAAAAGTAAAACGTAACAAATAATTTGACCGTATTTTTACAGGAGGACCATGGTCCTCTTTTAAACCCTTCTATATGTTATGAAAAACGAAAAATTGAAGACAACAATAACAGAAATTACAGAGAATATAGAGAAGAAGAGATTTCTTATTCACATCATTACATAGGGTACATCTTACAAAGAAAGATATAGGCCACCTATTTATAGGCAACAAATTTGATTCTTAGGCAACAAATTTGATTCTTCAATACTAATCTATGGTATACTTGGCCCTTTATTTATCCAGGAATATAATAACTGAGATAATGGACACACACTATTAAAATATTCATAACATATACATGCACTATA